TTGATAGAGAGAGAGAGAGCCAGAAGGGTAGGTGGAGATAGAGAGAAAGAGACAAACAGATCGGATAAAAACATCATATTTAATCACAACATACGATCTCCTTTCAGTTTAGCTTACCATTATTGTCCCTTTTTTTCATTAATTTATGCATGCTTACGTCTTTGTGTTGATTAAAACATCGAAAGGCATTTACTTCAATACCCTTTTGTGCTCTGAAATATCTATTCAGCAATTGATATATTCATTATCTCTTTCTCATAATTTCCAGTTAACTGTCATTGTTGCAGTCAAATCCACTCGTGCTTTGATTTTCTTTTTTTCTTTTTTTCTTCTTTTTTTGATAAGTCAGAAATATTTAGTTTATTTCTCCAATATATCGTAGTTTACGGTGTATTTTTCATTTTCTTTAGTGCAAAATTTTATCCCTGACTATTTTAAGTCTCTCAAAGACAGGATACAGAAAAAAATCTGTTGTATAAATAAACTTTAAGAAACTAGTAATAGTAGTAGTAGTAGTAGTATTCTATTATTGTTGTTATTATTATTATCATTGTTATAACTATTATTATCATTATTATCATCATTACTACTGTTATTAATGTTAGTATTTTATTATTATTATTATTATCATTATTATTACTATTATTATTATTTTTATTATTATTATTATCATTACGATTATGATTATTATTGTTATTACTATTATTATTTTTCTTATTATTGTTATCATAATTATTATTATTGTTATTATTATCATTAGTATTAGAATTAGTATTAGTATTAGTATTAATATTATTACTATTATCATTATTATTATTGTTATCATTATTATTACTATTATCATTATTATTTTTGTTGTTATCATTATTATTATTATTATCATTATCACGATTATTATCATTATTATTACGATTATTATTATTATTATTACTATTATTAAAATTATACTTTTTATTACTATTATTATTATCATAACTATTATTATTATTATTATTATTGTTATTACTTTTATTATCATTATCAACATTTATTATCAATATCATTACTAGCATTATGACAATATACATGTATATATATATATATATATATATATATATATATATATATATATATATATATATATATATACATATTGTCATAATGCTAGTAATGATATTGATAATAAATGTTGATAATGATAATAAAAGTAATAACAATAATAATAATAATAATAATATATATATATATATATATATATATATATATATATATATATATATATATATATATACATATATATATATATATATATATATATATATATATATATATATATATATATATATATATATATATATATATTTATATGTTCCTGTTATCATTATTGTCATTGTTATAATTAGTATTCTCATTATTGTCATTAGGCTAATCCACATTGCTTATTCCCTATTTATCTTCCTCCTTCCATCCACTCGATATTCATTTCTTTTCATGCATCATTCTTTTTACTTTTTTTTTTCTTCTTCTTCTTCCTATCTTCTATTATCATCGTTTTCTTTTTCCTCTTTTTCAGGATTATTCTTCTTCGTATTCTTATCTTCTTTTTCTCTCCTTTTCATATCGTTTTTTTTTTCTCGTTTGTTCTTCATTTTCTTTATTTTTCATGTTCTTTTTTATCGCCGTCATCGTCATCATCATCATCATCATCATCATCATCATCATCACCTTCATCATCTTCATTATCTCCATCATCATCAATATCATCATCAATCATAATCATCGTTATCATCATCATAATCATCATTATCATTATCATTATCATCATCATTATCATCAGCATCATCATCATCATCATCATCATCATCATCATTTGTTATTATTATCATTATCATCATCATTATCATCAGCATCATCATCATCATCATCATCATCATCATCATCATCATCATCATTTGTTATTATTATTACTATCATATTCATTATAATAAATTCAATTATTATCACTAATATCATTATTATCATTATTCTGCTTCATCTTCTCCTCCTCTTCCATCATCTTCCTTCTCCGTTTTCTCCAGCTTTTTCCAGCTTCCATCTCGTCAGGTTTTTAAATATACGTCTTTAATGAGTTAACGAGATTTTCATGCGCTGAAATAACCTGCGTCTAGTTTAGCTTCTAAAAATATACGTTATTATTTATATCATTTTATATATTAGGGGATAAAACTATGTATTTATTATATCCATACACACACACACACATACGCATATGTATATATATATATATATGTATACATATATATATATATATATATATATATATATATATATATATATATACTATATACATTATTTATATATATTTGTATACACACACACACATTATATATATATATATATATATATATATATATATATATATATATATATATATATATATATATATATATATATATATATACATATATATATATATATATATATATATATATATATATATATATATATATATATATATATATCTTATAAACAGCGCAGTGATTTTATTTGCGTGTCTATAGAATATGAGAAACCATCAGGATAAAAGTAAAAGAAAGTATTACATATCTCTTTAATTAATTCAACATAGAATCCGAAATTTCCTAGAACATTTAACACTAGATTTTCCATCATATTCAGAGAGCAAGACTTAAAGAGAATTTTTCAAAACTCATCTCGCATCTTTCTGAATGAATCAAAGTTTCTGAATGAATCAAAGTTTCTGAATGAATCTAAGTTTCTGAATGAATCTAAGTTTCTGAATGAATCAAAGTTTCTGAATGAATCAAAGTTTCTGAATGAATCAAAGTTTCTGAATGAATCAAAGTTTCTGAATGAATCAAAGTTTCTGAATGAATCAAAGTTTCTGAATGAATCAAAGTTTCTGAATGAATCAAAGTTTCTGAATGAATCAAAGTTTCTGAATGAATCAAAGTTTCTGAATGAATCAAAGTTTCTGAATGAATCAAAGTTTCTGAATGAATCTAAGTTTCTGAATGAATCAAAGTTTCTGAATGAATCAAAGTTTCTGAATGAATCTAAGTTTCTGAATGAATCAAAGTTTCTGAATGAATCTAAGTTTCTGAATGAATCTAAGTTTCTGAATGAATCTAAGTTTCTGAATGAATCAAAGTTTCTGAATGAATCTAAGTTTCTGAATGAATCTAAGTTTCTGAATGAATCAAAGTTTCTGAATGAATCAAAGTTTCTGAATGAATCTAAGTTTCTGAATGAATCTAAGTTTCAATCTCTATTTACTTTTTATTAACTACTCTGAAACGTACAATCCGCACGTTGTAAATACGTTCTAAATTTCCCAACATGTCAAGGTCAGTTCGGATTCTCTATGTATCCTTAGGCACTTGTCACAGGTAATTAATATCACAGTACATCCAGAAGTCAAGTCAGTTCAAGTCTATTGTTTGTATTTTATTATCATTATTATCATTTTGAATTCTTACCCACACACTTACAGTCATACAATAACAACAATATCGTAGACTGAAGTTTGTTATTTTCATATCCATCCTTATTGAGTTAATCCCGTCAAATCTTCTTGTGTTCTGAAGTGATCTCATAAAACTTTTTTTTTCATCATTCCTGAAGATTACAGCACGGGAATAACAACAGATTATGAGAACAACTGACAGTACTATATCATAATGTAGAGTCACTCATCGTGCTAAACACATATTATATGTAGCAAGTCCTATACTCTCTCACTTGCCTTGTATGTGCACTGTATTTTGTACAATAGTCATATTATATTTATTCCCATACTCCCATACACTAGCCTGAATATCTACATAGAGAAAAATAAGATATATATTGAAACTGTACATAATTATATTCCAACTGAGTCACTAAACCTTGTATGTAAGAAACAGTGTACCTTTTTTGCAACTTACACATGCTAATATATACAGCAACGTTATTGGGGTCAAACATGGGTGGACTATAACACTAATATATACTTGTTCTGCAAGTGTATAACTGCAAATTTATATCTTTTTAAATATCTTTTAAGAGTCTTTTGCATTTTTTAAATTCTGATCAAAATACTTACACCTAACATAATACTCACAGGTAAAAATAAATTCCACAGGATATGAACTTAAAACTAACGAGATTTTTTTTTTTTACTTTTTTTTTTCTTCTTCTTCCTCTTATCTTCTATTATCATCGTTTTCTTTTTCCTCTTTTTCAGGCTTCTTCTTCTTCGTATTCTTATCTTCTTTTTCTCTCCTTTTCATATCGTTTTTTTTTCTCGTTTGTTCTTCATTTTCTTTATTTTTCATGTTCTTCTTTATCGCCGTCATCGTCATCATCATCATCATCATCATCAGCATCATCATCATCATCAATCATCATCATCGTTATCATCATCATCATTATCATTATCATTATCATCATCATCATCATTATCATCATTATCATCATCATCATCAATCATCATCATCGTTATCATCATCATCATCATTATCATTATCATTATCATCATCATCATCATCATTATCATCAGCATCATCATCATCATCACATCATCATCATCATTATCATCAGCATCATCATCATCATTATCATTATCATCATCATCATCAATCATCATCATCGTTATCATCATCATCATTATCATCATTATCATCAGCAGCATCATCATCATCATCATTATCATTATCATCATCATTATCATTATCATCATCATTATCATCATTATCATCATTATCATCATCATCATCTCATCATCATCATCATTATCATTATCATCATCATTATCATCAGCATCATCATCATCATCATATCATCATCATCATTATCATTTTGAATTCTTACCCACACACTTACAGTCATACAATAACAACAATATCGTAGACTGAAGTTTGTTATTTTCATATCCATCCTTATTGAGTTAATCCCGTCAAATCTTCTTGTGTTCTGAAGTGATCTCATAAAACATTTTTTTTTTCATCATTCCTGAAGAT